CCTCTGAAATATTGACATGAAAAGTATGTTTGTACGTTAATCCTTCGCTCCCCATAGAAATTATAGACTTTCAAGTTTATTCTAAATTTTCATTTTTCATCGTACATTCTTTTAAAGATAAATATTTATGGTGCATCTGTGTGAAGAGCTGCAACCCCATCCTGTCATACTTTATTCTCTAAATCAACTTATCATTTTTTGAGCTCGAAAGCCCATAGATTAAGGTAGAATACTCTGTTCGATTGACATCAACTCCATGTTTTTGAAACTTTGTTTGTCTTCGCTTATTTTTTTGATGAACTTACCAATTTTTACTCAGTTTTCTGGTTCTAAGAATTTGTGGTGGAAAACACGCTTCAAAGCTTGATTAGTTGAATCTGTGGCTTTTGATGCCAGAGTTAGATATACTGTTTGAGTTGGATACTTAAAGAGAACTACAGATTCTTTTGCTTGCATTCACAGAAGCTATATCTCTAAATATTTTATACTTCGCTTGAAATGTAGAGTGCTTCCACTTTGGCGGCTTATTGGTGAGAACGTTTTAAAGGAATTGAAACTATATGAATCCAGAATACTATCCTTTCAAGTGCAACTATGTTAGGGAGGATTGGATACTCTGTGACAATATTATGGAAAGAAAAAGAAGTAGAAGTCCTCGTTTATTATAATGTTCTGTCTTGTTTAATGCTATGTACCAAAGATGAACTGAGTGTGTGAGAGAAAGTCTTCTGTGTCTTATGTTCTCTTGCAGATAATTTCCTACTGCTTAATGCTAATTACAAAGCTTATTTTGCTCACTCATAAGATTCTTATCGAGTTTTTCTTCACTCTAAACCTAATCAAATGAGGACATATTTAGCCCGTGTTTTTCCCATTCATTCATAACTTTTTTCTACATATTCATTTTCAAACAAACATTCACATAATAAAATATTTTACACGTAAATCCAAAATTTTTTACTACTTTTTAACTAAGCATTCTTAAAAAATTCGCTATTCAAAAAAATATTTTTTTCAAAAAATGGCCACCAAACAAGGGCTTAGTATGTAATACTTGACATACCAATATTATATATAATATTTTTTTTTTTTTTAAGTTTGTTAAGTCGAAATAGAAGTTGAACTTGTAGAGTAATAGTAGGGAGAGTTGGCGTGATGCTTATTGTGTACCAAACATGGACTAAGTACGAGAGAGTCTTTCAAAGTGATGATCTGGGCTCGAGCTTTATTTGTGAATTCTTCTTTGGTTGAGTTTGTCTAAACAATACAACTGTGACTTCTGTTCTCTCGCAGATAATTTCCTACTAATTATACTCACTCATAAGATTCTTCTTGTGTTTTTCTGTACTCTAAACCTAATGAAATTATTACATATTTAGTATGTAATACTTGGACATATCAATATTATACATAAAAAATTTAAATTTTTATATTTTATTTCATTTTCTTCAATCCAAATAGACGTTGAATTAGAGTAAGAAGAGGGAGAGTTGAATTCAATTCCAATGAAGTAAGATATCATCTCGATTTAACTATCTTTGTTGACTAAGCTCTTGTCAGAAAAAAAGGGTTTCACTTTCACCCCCAAAAAGCCATACGGCATCATTCATCTTCCATTACATTGGTACAAGTGAAGCT